ACAGTAAAGATTTTGTGGTTGAAAGCAGCCATCAATTCCTGTGGTGTCAGCAAGGTCTTCCTCCACAAGGCTGAAGATGTGAAATCACTCCATGGCATATCTGTCTGGTTGGCTCTGCACCAACCACATGGGTTGGTCTGGTTGTATCTTGGGAAACCAAACTCTTGGTAGAACCATTCTAAATCGCCAGTGATGCAGTGATGCAGAAAACCATCCCTCTCTGGAAGGTTTCTCCTGCTTCAGGAAGCAAATCTGGTGGAAGCTGTGCTCCATTCACACCTTCCCTTCGCATTTTTCCCCAAGCCGAGGCCTCCAAGCTCCAATGCAACACATCCCACACACCAGCCCACATTTCTGGTGTAATCATGGCTTTGGGAGCTGCCAGTAACAGCATGTGGCTCATATGGACCGAGACCTCACAAAGAATGCTCCTCAAGCTAAGTACCATCAAACCATCACACTCACTGTGTGGTGCAGCATCACCATGTATGCAAAAAGGGATAGGACCTTCTTGCTTCCAGTTGCCAAAAGAGGCAAGGAAATCCTTGCAATTGTTCAGCCTGGGGTTCTTCAAGGTTTGCTGTGGCCAGATGTTCTCAAGTTCTTGGCGCCCAGCACCTTATCCTTCCCAGCATCCTCAAGGGCTGCCACCCACATATGTGGTAGGAGAATAGGCAGCTCACCTGGTTGCTTCTGCATCTTTGCATTCTTTGCTTTTGCACAAACTGTGGTTTGGAGCATAAATGGCTCAGGTAAGGCGATGTTTTTGAAGAACCTTCTCACCAAGTCTCTGTGTGTGTTCCCACCTTGGGACCCATAAGCCCCCAAGGAAGACAAGGCATGCACATCCTGAGCATCTGGTGCTGTTTTGGTGCTTGCCAAAGCAATCTCTTGCACATCAGCTGCTGACAATTCCTCCTTCTGTCTGCAGCAGAAGAATGCCTAAAGGTGATGAAGGGGCCACATCTTCTCTGGTTTCCAGAGGCCTTTTAGAACCCCTTCTTGTGGAAGCCATCCTGATCAGGCACTGGAGGCTGAGTTGGAGTTGAAGAAATGTGGGCAAACATTGAAGGCTGAGTTGGAGTTGAAGAAATGTGGGCAAACACTGAAGGCTGAGCTGGAGTTGAAGAAATGTGGGCAAACACTGGAGGCTGAATTGGAGTTGAAGAAATGTGGGCAAACACTGAAGAACCTGCTCCTTGCTCCTTGCTTTGCTCTTTGTTCTTTGCTTGGGCCAGCTATATGCACACTGCAAGATTCACATTTTGAACAAGAAATTCTTGCAAGGGGCTCTCTCCTCCAACCCCTGGCAAGGGGCTCTCCAACCCCTGGCAAATGGCTAAAACAAGGGTACATGTTGTCAGTGCCACATGCCAAACTGCAGGCCATTCCCTCCAGCTTCACCACCCATCTCCATCTGTACCAGGTGGCCCTGAGGTTCTCCCTCCACAAGTTGTGTCCTCAGATGGCCATGGCACCAAGACATACAAAACCCATTGACAGAAAACAATATAGGGGCTTTCCAACCCATGGGGAATCCAAACAAAGTGACAATTTGAGGGCTTTCCAACCGATCGGCTTGCCTCCACTGTCTGTTCCATGCTTCCCTGCTCCTTTGCCACCTGCTGGAACTCCTCCCTGCATGGCCAGGTACCTTATCTTTGCTGTGCTTTCTCTCTGCTTAGGCTTGAAGCCGAAACACTCCAATATAAAGCAAAGTTTGCTGAGAACAGAGGGCATTCCAACCCCTAACTTCAAAGCATTTTTTGGTGACAACAAAAGGGCTTGCCAACCCTTAACTTTGCAATTTTGCAGACAACAAAAAGGGCTTCCCAACCCTTAACTTTAAAGCAAATTTTGCTGACAACAAAAGGGCTTGCCAACCCTTTGGTGCAATTTTGCTGACAACAAAAGGGCTTTGCAACCCTTAACTTTAAAGCAAAAATTGCTGACAAAGGGCTTTCCAACCCTTACCCTGACTCTCCTATAATGCTTACCCTTACAACCCTTGGGCTTTCCAACCCTTTGCTGCTTCCATTCATTTTCACAGGCCCAAGCTCGTTCAGTTGTCAAGCCATTTGGCTTTCAAATTCTCCACTTCAAGGAGGGCTGCACCACCTTCCAACTTCTTCTTGAGCTTGGCTGCCATTTGGTAGCTCTTTTCCTGTGTCTTCCTTGATTTGAAGTATTTGTCTTCCCTGCGTGACCCTGATGGCACAAGCTCCTGTGCCACTGTATGGCATCAGAATGAGTCTGGCTCTTTCTTCAGCACTGAGTTCAGGTTTCTTCCCCTTCTTTTTGGGCTTGCAAGGCATATCTGCCTTTTTGGCAAGCTGTTTCTTTGCACCTTTCTTCTTGCCTGCCATGGATGGCTTTTTTTTCACCTGGGGCACCCCCATGCAATCCCTGATCTTCTCCTTGGAAGTAGGCACTGGGCTTGTCATGTCAGCCTCTGCTTCACATTGCCCTCCCTCTGACAAAGCTTTTGTGACTGAAGGTGTTTAGGGGATTTCAAAGTCCAAAGCATCTTTTGTGGCTCTCTTCTTTGCTGGTGACCCTTCCTGCAGATCTTCAGATTTCCCTTCCAAAGCCAGCTCTCTCAGCTTCTCTAGTTGCTGGGTCTGCCACTCTGTGGCTTTGCTGCAGCATTCTCTAAATTTCTGCTTGTCTGCAAGCCTCCTGCATTGGGTTAAAACCACCAGGATTGTGTTTGCTGTATCTCCAGGCCATGCCGACTGCTTGCTCAATGGGACTTTTTCCAAGACCTCTTCCCTAGTCCTGCAAATCTCTTGCAAAGCTTCCTTCAATTGACCATATTTCAAAGTCAATGAGGGGGTGGCATGGCTGATAGCGGTGATGAAATCAAGGGCTTTCACCAACCCAACTGCATTGCAGGCAGTGCTCCTTGTAATCCCTTTACCATAGGGATCGAAGTCAAAAGCATGGGTGTAGCCCACCTTTCTGATCTGGCCATGGAAGATGTCCACCAAGTGCTCCCTATCCACATGAGGCTTTTTTGGATTTCTATTTCCACCTTTGCCCATACCTGGGTGGCTGCTTTCTAAAAGCTTATTTGAGCCTATACATCCTATATGTGATAAGGTTTCATGTTTGACTTCATTGGGCTGTCCAACCCTTATGAGTCTATTGGGCATTCAGTCTGAGTAATTACTTCACTGGGCTTCCCTAATCATATCAAAAAGTACTCGTTTACTTAGGGCCTTTCCAACCTACAACTCTGGGTTCATGGGTACCATGAAAATCAATCGAAAAATAATCGAGAAATCAATCGAAATTGACAAGTAAAATCAATAGAATTTTAAGACAAAATCAATAGAATTGAATGCCTTCAAAAAAGCAATTCTATTGAAAAACCCTTCAAACCATGCATTTTCAATCGAATTTATATTTTGTTCAAAAATCAATATGTCTATTGTTTTTCAATCGAGGATGCTCTGGGTTCGTTGGGCAACGTAGGAAGACCGGTCGCTGCCCCCCTGCTCCGTACAGTGCTCCCAACAAATTGAAAAGAAAGGTAGAGTAGGGCAATAGACAGGTTAGTTCCCTTTGGAACAGGGGTTGACACACACAAGAAGCCGAAACGGCGCATCTAGTACTATTCAAGGCACAACTCAACGCAAGCTGTCTTTTTTGGATGGCTGCAAGGCTGCAGCGCTAAGTGTGCTTGACTGTTTTTTTTGTTTCCTTTCTTTTTCCATCTTTTTCGTTCCTTTTTCCTTTTCTAGGGGGTGGAGGGGTGTGCGGGCGTGCATTGACCAAACGAGCCTGGATGCCACCCAACCAGCCTGAAGAAAAGAACAAGACAAACGAAAAGGCAAGGAAAGAAGAGAAAGATGCAGGGGGCGCGTGGGGGGCAGGGCGTGCGTTGACTAAACGAGCCTGGATCATACCTAAAAAGGCCTGAAGGAAGGAACAAGACAAACGAAAAGGCAAGGAAAAACAAGAAAAGGTGCAGGGGGTGCGGGGTAGGGTGGATGCTCTTGCGAGCGAACGGCACGGGCCCGTAGGCACTGACCGAGAAGCCGAATCGGCGCTTTTAGATTGGAACATGTCGCTTGAAAAGTTGGAACATCTCCTGGTGTGAAACTCATTCAGAAAAGGTTTTCAGTGGACTCTGCAGTACGGTTTCACGTGTACAAGGTGAGACGTTTCAGACAGTCTGACTTCGAGCAAGAAAATTCGAGCAGTAAATTCAGGAAGCATTCAGAAAAATGTACTCCTGCAATGAGGAGAAGAACTCCCACTCAATAGCGGCGCCCCGTAGGGTTCACACAGCTCACCACAGTGGGAAGAAGCTGCGAATCACACTTGAGAAGAGTGCTCCGTAGAGCGTGGTTTCAGAAATTCGCAGTGAACATTAGCCCTTTATCTTACTGCAATTAGACCTTGACTGAAAAGGAAGCGCTGGGTCAGATCAAACGAATGATTGAACAAGAATGGATGTGAAGTGACTAAAAAATTAGCAGGTACACATTCAGGCGTCCCTGAATGCTTCCGCCAGTCTTCCCAGCTTCGTTGGGCAACGTAGGAAGACCGGTCGTTGCCCCCCTGCTCTGTACAGTGCTCGCAAAAATTGAAAAGAAAGGTAGAGTAGGGCAATAGATAGGTTAGTTCCCTTTGGAACAGGGGTTGACACACACACACACACCAGTCGACAATAATATGAGCCCTGAAAGTGGAGCCTTGCCTTTGATCATGTTCTTCTCCAACAATCTAGCTCAGGGAGACGTCAAGCTATCAAAGCAGGGCGGACACAAAGTGGATACAGAAGAAGTTGAAGCAAATTCCACTTTTAAGCTACGACCAACATCACAACTTGTCTACAGAATGCCACACTCTTGAGAATGCTATGAAATGCCTGGCACCTTTTCATCCTGGAGATCCTAGCGGTGCTCTGGCCAGTGACGCCTTTAAATGAAAATGCCTTCATGGGTCGATAAGTTGTTTCTCGCAGCAGAAACATGACTGTCATGATTGTCATGGTGCTCAATTCTGCTCAATTCCCTGGTTGCCCATGGGCACTAGCCAGCTTAAATGTCCAGCTTCTCATCATCTGTCAGCCGAGTTCCCTTGGTGCTCCTGTGCAGCAATGAACACTCGATGCTCAATAAAATCACCTATACAATGAGTACAATGGTTTCAATGGCGTTATGCAACCACTACATGTTGTTTCAACGATAACCACATCAGGGCTATTGATGTTTGGACACATGGCTTCACACACAACACAAATTTGCACAGGCCACCTGCCCCCTTGTGTTCGTCTTGGTAAAGGCAGCGAAGGCACCATCTACGGTGAATCTGCAAGGGACAGTACTTCAAGCACACTTCAGAAACTGCCATTCACTGTATATATAAAATATGTATATACTAATGTCTGGATCTCCAGCATCTAGATCATCAATATTGTAGAGCAACACAAGAAAACAAACATGGTGTCTATCCAAATCAGGCTTTAAAAACACGATCGCTTTGCTCTCTCTATTGATCTCTTTGGGCATCACTATAAGTCCAGCAGTTATATTCAGCTGTTACGATGTTGGCTGTGGGTAACTAGCGTGGGAGGGGATCCCTCCAGTCCGAAAATCCAACTCTCAATGGCGAGATCCCTCGCCATCCAATGAGTCAGGATCCAATGAGTCAGGCTGCGTGTCTATCATACGTGTCTTATCTGTCATCTGAGAAGAAGTCAGTTCAAAAAGCCGGACAAAATGAAAACCATCGGACCTGCGCGGTTGAAAGAGATCAAGCCATGATCAAACCTGTTTGATCCCCAAAGATCCTCCGTTCAGAAAACGGTCCTAATGTGTTTGTAGGCGGAAGCTGCGAAGACCTCCTCCACACTCTGAGAAGCCATCCTGGCAAAAATATGTTTGACTGATCAACCAGCATGACAGCTAAAGCTTGAAAGGAGCTCGACCCCCCGGAACAAACTTCGCAAAACAGCCCCTAAGAACACCAATCAGGGTGATGCCTGCCCCTGAGAGGTGCATTTTGCCCTCAAATCCAACAGAACTGTGCATCCCACTAAGGTCATGGTCATCTACGTATGATCGTTCAAGAGGCCTTACTGAGACTGTTTAGGAACCAAGTTCTGCTTTTGCGCGGTCAACCATCCACCACACAGCAGTGTTAACAAGGAGTTGCCAGGGCGTAACAAGGGCATCGCTAAACTAGTAACAAGGGCATCACCACTAGCATTGCTACTGCGGTAGTACAAGAAGATGCAAGAAGTTACACTCCCTGGAACTAACATGGTTACGTCGAGAATGGGCCCGAAAGGAAGACCATGAAATCCACGAACCAAACAGGTGGTGCCATCCACTACAAACTATGTGAGGGACCTAGGGAGTAGTAACTAGTTGCCTTCTCGTTCGGAACGATGCTGGCGTTCCTCCGAGTGGCCTTCGGGTGAGGGGCACGGAAGACGGGCGTTCACGGGTAGGCGTTCTCTTTCACAGGTCACGGAAGACGTCAGGGCGTTCACCTTGCCACTACTGAACAAAAGGCGGAAGCACCTTCCGCATCCAAGTCCCTCTCGCCACCTTCCGCATCCAAGTCGTCCCAGTCTCAAGTGCTCGGTCACGTGATGTCACGTGGCAATGGAATGCAATGATGCAATGTTTGTTGCAATAAAAACCACACAAACGTTTAAACAAAAAACGTGGAAATTGTCAACAGTCCATTGGCAAATTTGACGTCACATTCGACCTCGTGTTCCCCACCCACCTCTTCAGCACTGGTTTGGACTCGGTTTGCTCGTCTTCATCGGGCGGGGGCTCATCGGGCACGGCGGAACTGGGACCGTTGGGACCTGGCGAAGGTTTTCCCGGGGAGATCAAATGTAATCACCAATCAGATTGGTCTTTGGGATTACTATGGAGAGCATATGGTAATGTTTATCATATTTATCTACACGTAATTATATATATCAAGTACGTCCGTATCATATATAGTACAAAATACAACAAAAAGGGTATTTCAATAACAGCACATGGAGTCGGAGGATCGTTTGAGTATATCAGATTCATGGACCGAACATGACAGGACATACACTGAGAAAAGTTGACAATGTCCTTCTCAGAAGAAACCATGTCCTATGCATGACCAACTGAAAGATTGTGCTAGAGGGATCTGATGCTCCAATGCCACTTCCATGGCCCACCCACGTTGCATTTTGCTATCAGAACAAAGGCTGCCAACCTATACCCCCTGCAACACACCCTCTGAACCCGTTCAATTCCCCGTACTCTGAACCACATGTTTTAGATGGCGCCACACTGAACTCCTGTGCCAAAACACAAAACACTTGGAGAAGATCATGTAAATCAAATTTTATGACAGGGGTAATCACTCATGTATTCTGCAGCATCTGGAGTGCTGGCACAATACATATCTTAAACTCAAATCGTCAGATCTAATCTTGATATACATATTACGTTGTTGTACATATGTGAAGTGTATATATATACTTTTGGTTTCTTATCTGAAGGAAACAATTCAGGCAAATGGACGTGACCTTCTCCCTCACCAAGCACTGGCAGTTTGCAAACCACCCACCCTGCACCTGAAGTGACACTGAGAAGCTGCAGCACCTCCTCGAAGAGAACCTGCAGACCAGGAAGAGGCGTAGAAAAGTATATAATGCCAGCTCCAGCAGTTAAGCTGCTGTCAAACAGAATCTGCCGTAAAAAGATCTACTGATGGTTTCCATGGTGCTTACTTCATATCAGCTAGTTTACTCATGGAGGGTTCCTGGACAGCGACCCCCAAAAAAACATAGTCCTTCCTGGGCCTTGGGGCCTTGCACGTGCAATGGCAACGCCCAAGTATGTGTGGGATGTCTTTTGCATTTTGGATGATTGCACCAAAAGCAAAACCGTCCAAACTTCCAACAGCACCATTTCCCGGTTTTCTGCGGTCCCCAACCTTCCCAACAACACACCAACGCCCTCCGTGCGACGCCAACGACGCAAGCAACGACACGTCGTTCGCTCGCCTCCAATTTGGTCTCCATCCGCCAGATGTCCAATGCTTTCGCCTGACCTGGCCATTTCCGCGCGAATCTCTGAGGCCAACACTGCCTGACCGAGGCCCTGAAACCGGTGTGACACCGGCCGCACGCGCGGTGGGTCGGGGAAAATGGTTGAAACTGATGGGACATCATGGGAAACTGATCACATGTCCTCTTGGCAGATGCCAAGAAGCCTGTCACTCCGACCATGTTTGGTCCATTCTGACCATGGTTGGAGCTGGGAAGGTACCAAACCGGGCAAACGTGACATGTTACCTGGCCCACCAACTCCGTCGTCTTTCTTGTGTTCAATCCAAAGAGGCCTTTGCAAATGGTTTTGGTTCTCAACTCTAACTCATAGGATCTCAAGGGTGTGGGTGCAAGTCTAAAATTTATGTAACAAGAACAACACAGATTAGCAACTTGTAGCCTACAACGCGATTGGCGACCTATTGTTTTGCCTTGAGGGAAAAAGGGCTTTGACTGAGCATCCCAGTCACGTAACTGCTGTCGGTGCGTGCAGGAAAGTTTGGATCTTGAATTCTCTCTATAGACATTATAGCTTGGAACCTTCACATCTGCTGGGCGACCAAACTCCAGTGCGAATTCAATGTGTTTTTTCCCCTTACAGTATATAAAGTCACGTGGCACCCTCGTGTGGGGGCAGCAGCTATCGTGTGAGGCAGCTGCGCCGATAACTTGGACGAACCCGAAAGCTTCGTCGCACCTCTAAGCTTCGTGGCACCCTCGATGAACTCTGACAGTGTGATTTCTCCATCCTGCGTCCGAACCAAAACGACACCGGCAAACCTGTCAGGATCTCGTCCCCCACTCCGGTAGATCTGAAGTGGAGATGGCAATCAAAATGGCCATGTGGGCGATGCAGTGCCGTAAAGGATTGAGCTTAGAACATGCCAAGCGCAAAGCAGTGTCGAAACTGGCAGTTTCCGTATTTCCCTATAGGGCTCCCAGGTGTCCAGGTGTCTGTTTGCGGTGAGTGGAGAGTTCGTTCTTACCTTCTGAGGAAGTATTTGGAGATATTTGGAGCGGAGAATGGTACACTCATGTACACTCCCTGACACAAACAATGGAACATAGGAACGTAGGCCCCGACCATTTTCCTCTTCAAGGGGGTCCGGGGTCCTGGGTAGCTTCCATGAGTCTTTGAGAATGGTTTCTTGTGCAATCTGAAACAATTAGTATCAAGTGCATCGCTACTAGTAACAAGTGCAGTACTACTAGTAGTAACAAGAAGTAACAAGGTGCATCGCTACTAGTAGCAAGGGGAACATTCAGGAACTACAGGGGCGACCGCGGATCGATACCCCTGAGTGGCGGACCCCATTGTCGAGGAACTCAAAGAGGCTCATCAAATCATGATATTCCAACCTGAGACGGAAAGATTCTGAAAGACAGAATGAGTGAGTGCAGCTGTTTGGAAGGGGGTTCACAAAGCAAATTCAGAACAGGATTCACAGGAGATTTACAGTAATTCATTGTTCATTAATATACATTGTGATATATTCATATATATATATATTCATTAACGTTCTCTTGATCTCCCCTATCTCCCCGACCGCTTTTGCCTTTCTTCAAATACCGCTCTTGCTATACAAAGCTTCTCACTTCTCGCCGGTGGGTTTCGGGTGGGAAGGGTTTCGTGTTTGGGTTTCCACATGTTTCAACCGAGGCTCTCCAGTTGGCTCATCCAAAACTTGAGTTTCGGGTTGGAGACCAACTTGGAGAATTCCTGCACAACACAGGGGGCTCCAAGACGGGGCGCTCAACCGCGGACTGATCGTTGGCTTTTTCAGGGACTGATTTCAGAGGCAGTGGCTCATGTATCGCGGAGGGTGAGAGATCACAGAATCACTCTTGTGTATGATGAACATGAACAGAGTTGTCGAAAACCAGTGCAACCAAATCCGTTCTTTTACTCTTCACACAGCCGTTGGAACTAGCCAGTAGCCTACTAGCCTACTCAACCAAATCCAGACAAATCTAGGCAAACGTCCCCTATCAAGACTTGGTCCGCACTAGTAAAAGAAGCTGTTTAGATCTTTGTAGTACGTCTTTGAAGCTAACACTAGGTTGGAGGCCATCGCTAGTTTCCATTGCTCTTCCTATGACTTGGTCCATCGAAATGAGCCGACCGCTGCCTGGCCCCGCCCCGTTGCCCGCCGAGCCGAACAAGCGACTCACTCAACAGTCATGGGAAGCAGCTGTTGGACTCCAGGCCGCACACCTGTTGTACCAAGTCCTTACACTTATATATACTTACTCTGTCGCGCTAATATACGTATTTTGTTACATAGTATAAAAACTCTAGTCATCACGGCCAGGGTCTAAGAGTACACCAACTCAGGGGTAAAGCAAATCTTTGCAAGGACTTGCAGGACTACTTGCAGGGTCTTCCTCTCCAGGATGCCGGTGTGCTACTGATTCTTCTGAAAATACCAAAAGATCTAAAAAGTTGTTGTTTTTGGCCTGGCCATCTGGATCATTCTGGACCCATGGTGTTTCTATGTTGTCTTGCCTTGCCCCATTTGGAGTCGAAGGCTGTCTGTAGTGTGCCACCCCAAATCAGTGGAAGTGTCTGCAGAGTTACACCAAACAACAGCGGTTTCATCTCAAATCTCAAGTGACGAGGCAACAGCCAGAAGTATGAAGAACATGCGTCATAAGCTGAAGAACGCCAGGGGCCCCCCTCTGAGCCCACAGCGTGGCGAACATCTGCTATTAAGGAGGTCTTGAGACCGCTATGGCACCTAAATGGTTGTTATGTTTTAGCAAGTTCTTATCGAAGAAACTGACTGTGCCGAAGACATCCACAGGTCCTTCCATGCGTTTCCCTCTTTCACTCGTGCTTGATCCAAGGTTTTGGAGTTTCCGAACCTATCTTCATCCTTCTTCAGCCAAACCCAACCGCCAACCACCGGGTTCCCCCAGTGAACCACCGTCCTCATAGTTGATGGTGCCGTCACCGCCCGTGTCCATGGTTTGGAAGACATGTCGAAGCTGGGCGCGCGAGCACACACACACACACACGCACCGGTGCGGGGGAGAAACGAGGAGTCACACTGGGCTGCATTCGGAGGAGTTTTTTCGAGATGCAAGTCTGCCATGGAACGACAACACTTGTTTCATTAATACAAGTAACTCTGGACTGTGAATCATGTATGGCAAATCCCTGGTATTCCTTCAATATGCCTGTAATTAAATTGCCAAGTACCACCAAATGTTATGATCAAAGTCACAAACAAACAAACAAACACTTGGAGAGATAGCTCGCAAGAACACAGGGTCAGTTAATCTTCGGCTGATGCTACTGCGGTAGACCTTGACTGGTGAACGGAAAGGCGATAAGTCCAAAAAACATAGACTATTGTTTAACAATGGTGAAACGAAACAGCAAGTTAAAAGTGAAGGTAAGTCGGAGTGACGTTGGCAGTAGACTCATGAGTGGACTGCTGCCCCCTGCTTAAGTGAATTCAAAACCATCAAAACCTGTAGGTGATCCTTAGAGACAGGGTGTGACTCACACACACACACACACACCACGCACCAAAACTCACGACCCAGGCCGGTGCGTGCATCCAGCGACCTCCACGACCCGCACGGGACCGTGATGGGTCGTGTCTAGGCTGAGCCGTGCGCCACAACCCCCGCCTTTCGAGTGTAGGAAGCCACATCCTTCTCCTTCTGGCGAAAGGCCAAATCCTCGCCGCTCAAAACTCCCGGTCCGGAGCATGGTCTGGTTGCCCGGCCGCTCCGGTCAGCCGTACCGTAGGCGGCACGGTTTGGTGGCATGGCAGGCGGGCATTGGCATTCTGAAAATGACTGGGAAAGCCGCAACGTCATTGCTTTTACCGGCTGACACATGGCGCCGACACCGATTTCCTCATCAGAGTCTCTCGGCTTGGTTTCGATACATGGCTTGTGCAGTCCTGTCCTTGTACAGTGGTTTCAGAGTAGATGGCACAATCCCAAAGATACTGGTGCTCGTTGAAGTTAATACATTTTGCATGTGGGATACTAAACCACCATGGAACGCCGATTTGCAAAAGTCAGTACTTAAGTCAAGACTGCTGGCCTTCCCCATTGTAAACGCTACATACAGAACAAGGTTCTCCAGATTCACCTTTCCAAAAAGAGAAAACTTCAACTGCAAATCCCAATGGCAACGCAAGTTGGAGAGCTACCCGACGTGGTAACTTACCCCATCGCACATGAACTTGACCCACCCCCATGGCACACCGCTTACCCCACGAATGTAAGAACTTACCCCATTTGGACAAAATGGCGCACCGCTTCCAGACAAGCACTTTTTCTCCTAGATTGTTCCTAAACCTACACTATTCCATTGCGATTCAACCTTCATCAACCTTCTACATGTTGATGTTTTCAAAGGTTATCTATGGGTTGCCGTGATCCAATCCCCATGGCACCCCGATTCTGACCCACATGTTGGTACCAGCTTTAAGTTTCTACCTGGAGTGCAAACAGCATGGAATGGTTCGTTAAACGTCAGAAATATCTATGCGTTCTTGTGTGTATTCCTCTCTCAATCCCCATGGCACACCGCTTCGAAACAAGCACTTTTTCTCCTAGCCTAGATTGTTTCTAAAGCCTACACCATTCCATTGCGATTCAATCTTCTACACGTTGATGGGTTCTAAGGTTTCCTATGGGCTGAAATGATCCAACCCCCATGGCACACCGATTCTGTGACACCACACCGTGACTAAGTCACGGCAGAGTCACTTAGTTTTCGCCAAAACCATGCTTTCCAAGCCCAGTTTACAACCGGACACTGCCACAATGATTGGGTTTGTGCAACAACAGCCAGCAGCAAATGAGTAGGCTTTGTAGCGCAGGCAGCGGCAGCGGCAGCAGCAAGCAGCAGCCAACCAGCAGCAAAACAACACCAACAACCCAACAGCAGCAGAAGGCAACCAGCAGCGGCCAAACAGCAGCAGCAAGCCGGCAGCAACAAACCAGCAGCCGCCAAACAGCGGGCAGCACCAAGCCAGCAGCAGCTAACCAGCAGTATAGTAGCCAACCAGCGCCAGCAAACCAGCAGCAACTGGCAGCAGCCGACCACCAGCAGCAAAACAGCGCAGCGCCGCAGCAGCACCCAACCAGCAGAGTCTGCAATGGAAGAAGCCTGCTATAATCATAGGGCGTGCAAGACAATGACAGGCAGCAAATGAGTAGGCCTTGTAGCCCAGGTCGCAGCAGCGGCAGCGACAAGCAGCAGCAAGCAGCACCAGCAGCAGCCAAGCAGCAAGCAGCAGCACCGGCAGCAATCAGCCAGCAGCAGCAGCAGCCAACCAGCAGCAAACCAACAGCAGCCAACCGCCAGCAGCAGCAGTAGCCAACCAGCAGCAGCAAGGCAGCAGCAGCAGCAGAAAACCAGCAGCAGACCGGCAGCACCAGCGAAGGTAGCCCAATCAAGCTTTCCCCCAAGGGCACACCTCATCTGGCACAAGTTCATGCCACTCAATAGTGTGCCCGCTTCACAGCGGAAGCCAGGTTTCCACGCGGACCCTGCTTCCGAGGGTTGGCCCTATAAGCCCTTGGAGGGTTGGACATATGAGACCCACAATCCCAAGATGAAGGGGAACCTATGGGCTGCCTATAGAAACCTCTAGAAACAACCTATGGGTTGCCTGCCAACTTCCTTGCGGTAGGTCTTGTGCAATCAAAACACTGTGAACGCTGAGTAAACCAAGCCCATTGAATAAAACCATGCATTTAGAAAACATCTTCCAACACACTCTATCCTGCAAGGAAACGCTATAGTGTATCGACTTCCTGGCTTGCTCATCACCTTCTATCTGCTATTTGCAAAAAAACACGTCTCGATTTCATTTAAGGATTGGTACAGTATGTCACAGTATGTCGCAGCAAAAAAGTATCCTTCCCATATCCCTTCCAGCGTTCTTCTGCTAAGACCAACTGACAGCAAGAAGACTAACTGACAGCAAGCGACAAACCAACACCAAACGACAACAAAAACAAATAACAACAACACCCAAGACTTCAAGAGAGCTTCACAATACCAAACGGTTTTTTTACAGGTCTTCTTGGGATAGGCGATCTGTTGGGATAGGCTGTTGGATCAGAACTGGACGAAAATGGACCACCGGTGTGGGACCTCGAGTCCGTCACCGGTGGGACACCCATCCCACTTGGCCACCGCTCTTCATCCGAACTGGCGGTTTTCATCGTCTGCTGCACAAAGACCGAGTTCCTGCCAGGAACATTGCTCGGGTCGGGTCGACTGCCCAGGGTGCCCGAGGCAAAGCCAAACCTTTGAGGCTCTAAGAATCTCTGAGATACAGATCATAATAATGCTTTATTGGTGGGCATCTTCGCAATTCAGGACCCTTCCAGTCAGATGCTTTTCTGCAGTTGCACTGAAAACACAATTCAAATCACAATTCCTCCAAAAACTTGTGATCCTGAGATACACTGCCCTATGAGAAAGACAAGTGAAAAGCATCACTGATCACTCAAAAACGATGACTGTGGGGAGGTTGCGATGGCCTCAAGTTGTGTTTGCTGACTTCTAGGGCTCTGCTCACACGGAGGGCAACGTTACTGACCGATAGCGCAACAACGCCGTCGGAATGTGTGCCAAGATGCACGACGTTGAGTACCTTGGTGGGGTATATTGGGTGGATTGGGATGAGACACTCATAAAACAAACACATCTGCAAGGTTCTGTCCCAACTGAAGGGCACATCGAATGAGATAAATACCCTATTTCGGATCCCGGTCCGAGAGCCCATGTTGAATTACGGTTAAAGTTATGTCAGTTTTCTTTTGATGTGATAGAATTTACTTTTTTGACACTCTTGGAAATCCAAATCCAAAAATTTCATCGAATCCTGCCCCAAAGCACAAGGTTCTGAAACTTCCTTCAGGCAAGCTTCTGCAAAACCCAGCACACAACGGTAGGCCAGGAAAAAGAGCGAGAACCATTCGCTGACCTCAGGACATTCAAGGATAGTCGTCTGGGCAGCACCAATGGGGTTGGGACCCAGGGGGTCAAGCCACCCCATCCTAGCCAGTGTGGCCACACGGCTATATTCAAAATTCAAAAAATTGTTTGACCAAACTTTGGTCACCAAATTACAAATATTTGGCATTAAATGTGGTCCTGCATCAACTGCGAAGTCTAAGGAAATGAACTAAAGAAATAAAATGACACAAAACATGAACTAAAGAATGAAACTGACCCCGACCCCAGGCTAAATTGTTGTCAATCAGCACTTCATTGGTGACGAAGTATCCCATTTGTCCTGTGTTCTTGTTTTTGTTGCATCCTGTGGAAGTTGAGGCTGCAAACTGTGGAGTGGTGCATTCTTAGCAATTTGTCTTGTGAGGAGGGTCTTGACATCACGTCCTGCAGTTCATGCAGAAAGTTTTGGCCTACTCAGGCAGCTTCAAAAAAATGCGTTTTATCCAACTCCAAGCGATAAAAGGGGGAAAACGTGAAGCCGTGTTTGGACACTTGCTTAAGAAAATCAAAAATGGAATTTCCAACATACCGCTTGTTGCCGATTAAGTAAAAAATCACATGAACCCAATGAGTTCAAAAATGGAATGGTGTTCCCAATTCCAGCTGGGACCCCTTTGAAACCGCTTTGGACAACTAACACTAAAATGGGGCGAGCAGCAAGCCAGGCGCTAGGTAGTAGTCCGAGAATGTGCAAACTGTGCAAACAAGGAACATTGTCCACCAACACTCTGCAGGCAGGTCCCCAATTGGCGAACAAAATTTCCTCGGCTAGAACTCGCAACATGGATGCGGCTGCGGCTGCCATTGCTAATTACTAATGCCAAAAAAACAGAAACCAAATATATAGCCAGTGGCGATAACCAAGTGCCGGTGGCGAAAACTACTGATGGGCTGCATTTGGTTGGCTGGAGATGTTGGCAGGGAACCGTAGATGGTCGGATGGACCCACAGCTGTTGTTATTCCACCCTGCCGGGCGCTGTTTGGAGCCACCCTAAATCCGGATAGACGGCAATACCGGTAACATTGGTGCTTGTTTCCTGGCGAAGATTCGCTTGGCACATTGGCCGAAAGTTCCAAATTTCACCTCGGTGAAAAGGCCTTAGTGAGCGCACATCTGTGCAACCAAGGGTTCCCGACGTCGACCGTACGGATTGAACGGTCAAATCTGAAAGACTGTTCATTCAACAGTTTGTCGGCCAAGGCCATGGGGGAAACCCAATAGGCGGTTCCATCACATCCGGCCAGAAAAGCACTAAACAATGCCAGCAAAAATCACCAAAGGTTCAGAAAGAAGAACAAAAAGTTTGGTAAGAACTGCCCAATTTGCAGATAGTTTGATCCTCAATTATGTAACTAATGAGTTACATATAGTTCCCGTACTGGACAGGAATAAAACCATCCTCACATCCTAACACTTTAAATTCTAACCGCGGTATGTTTTGTGAGAGCTGAATGCTGAAACTGAACGTTCAATGACCAAACATAAGGGCCTTATCAGTAAAAGAGTGGTTCTTACTCAGTACTGTGTCATCCTTGCCCCTCACGGTAAGCTTGGCTGACTTCTACTCAGGATGAGTTCGAATGCGAGGAGCACAACAATTCATTATCGGGACCTCAAACAGTATGCCCCGGGAAACATAACTATTTATTACTATTTAGACCCAAAACAATCCTAACCCAGGGTTGAAAGAGAGTAGAACGGCCCAAAGTTTGTCCAAGGTTGTTCGCACACAAACACCTCTCCGCAGCAGCATTCAGAACAGGGCTGACAGAAATACAATGCTTTCTGGCAGAACCAGCAGCACACAAAAAAAAATATTGCCCCTGAAGTTCATGCTTGTATATACAGGTCATGTAAGTATTGATTGTTTTTTCCGGTCGCCAAAACGTAACACGGAGTAGGTGTTCCGCGTGAAAAAAGAACACAGCAAGCACGCACAAAGAGACGGACCTTTCTAGGTTTTGCTGCCTGTTGTGTGTGTGGGGGGGGGCCGCCTTGCCCATCTAAAGCCATACCGTGACCATAGTAAGTTGCTCCTCCAGCCACCGAGACGGCTCCACCTAAACATATAACATATATATATATATATAAAATTAATGCCAGGCCGGAAAAAGGAATACCATGTGCAAATTTCGTGGCGCGGGCGGGGGGTTGGGGGAGAGGGCACCCCCCAGCAGCCAACATAAAACAAAACTAACACTGCCAGGAAGTGCGAAAGTGGTTTGAGGAAACACTTTCTGGGATAGCAAGGTGTGCTGTAGGATTAGACTAGACTGCTCATGGGTTAAAAACAAGCTCATGCGTTAAACAACAAGTCCGTGTGCACCAACAGACAAAACATCAGGATAAAATAAAGTCTGCTCCTAGAACTCACCCTTCCTTCCTTGCTTCCTTCCTTCCTTCCGTCCGTCCTTCCTTTGTTGAGTTAAGTCTGTTCTAACATGTTCTAACGTGTTCTATTTCGCATGAATATCAGAATAAACAAGGTGCCGGCGTTGTTAACGACCCTGGAGTTTTTAGCACTTTCCATCATGCATGGAAACGAAGAATCTATTGGAACACGCAGGGCTTTGTGTTTCACTCATGTTTTTTTATGACGTTACTTTCGTATGGTTTTTGCAGCGCGATGCCCCTCAAAGAAGATCAAGCACATTGGAAATACGACGTGCCACTGGCTGAATTTAGGCCCTCGTCTTTTCAGAAGACAACAACATATGTGGAAGAGAGAAACCATTAACCCTCGCAGTGTTTCGTGTCCAAGTCATGTTTTGATGACATGCGGTACATTGCGTCTTTGGACTTCCGCGAAGCAGACGCAGTCAGAACCTCAGACACTGCTCGCCCATTTTTTCCAAAGGCTCTTGACGCTGTTTCTTCGAAACTGGTAGCTCCAAGTGTACTTCATCAAGAGCGGGTTTAGTCCAGTTGAGCATTTGGCATGGATACTGCTATACACCCTGGTCCACAAAGAGTATAACAGATCGTGAGAAGTGCCTTGAAAGACAACGTCCAACGATCCGGGTCCAGAACCGTGTCCAACACAAAACTGTCAAAAGGTCCCGTGTGTCTAGTTGCTAGAGAAATCAAAGAATCCACATAATAATGTTCACTTCCACAGATCCAACAGAGGATCCGGACAAGGTACCCTGACCAACCACAACATAGCCACCAAACACAACGGCAACACCTCACGAGCTGTGAGCTCGCGCATCCTGAAGCCCAAACAGCTCAGCGACGCGGTTTCATGTAACAAACAAAAAGAACCAGGTCGACCACCAAAACACAAACCGAAGCCGACGTAGGGATCCCGTCAAAGGCAACGGTGCAAGTGCGAACCAACAAAGGCACCATGGTCCATGTTTCGGGCAACAACCATACCAGAACACGACGTAGTTAGCCCCCCCCCACCCCCCCACTGTCAAAAAGTCCTTGGCGACAGCAAACATGCTCCGAAATGCAGGGGTCACTAATGACGCCGGTAGCATAAACAAACAAAACTATTATCACGATCAGGATATATGTATATATATATATATCATGATAAAAACAACAAATAACATTATACATGTTTAATTTATCACATTTATCACTGTATCAGGATCAATCACAAAATGTTATGGAGCAAGGAAGGAAGTCTTTTTCTGGAAGAACTGATCGACTGGCGTCTTGACTTACGACCGGTGGATCCCCGAAATCCGCCGGGGCGCCAACCGGTCTATAGGTTTTGGTATTGGGGAACCATAAAAGTCCACTAGAACCAGGTCTGGGGAAATCCGCCAGCAGCCCTTGGTCTAACCTTGGTCTACTTCTGGTTGCATAATCCCTAGAAGTCCAAAGACTTCGTATCAGCTTCCGCAGATACGTGTGGCCTGGAAATTCCTGGATCATCGGGTGCAGCACTCGTCAGACCATTCCTAGGGTGCAGTGCAGGACTCCCCAACAAAGAAAGGACTCGGTCGTCCGACTCAGTGGTCAAATGTGGTCAATATCGGACGACCACTGACCACTGACCATAAAGAAGCCAACCGACAAATAAAGTGCATATATAGTGCATATATTCCACCTATACGGTTTTCCGCGTTCTTTTCCAATCTTTGCCTTTCCCGTCGGGTACCTCCGCTTTCCAAGGCCACGCTTCGAACATCGAAAGCACTGTTCTCGTAAAGGTGCCTCAACACAATAGCGCCGCGGAAGGCAAAAAACGGATGGAATCGCGGAGGGTTCACGGGTGGGTTCACGGGTGATGATGGTGAGCTGCACGTGTGCAGAAATGAAGGAATGAAGACTTGTTGTGAGGTTTGAACCTACTGAAAAAGCCTGTGAGTAAGCAACACTTGGCAGTTTCTTGAACATGGGCCCGGACCCAACAGGTACTCCCTACACAAATATATATATATATAAACATGACACATCAATTGTCGAGTGTCTAGACTGACAAAAACAAACAAAACACCACTCCCATGAAAACTTCAAGTTGAGGACGTCTTTTGTTGACCAACAAGTCAGGACAAATCAACGGGTCAGTTCGACAGGTCTGTCCCAACAAGCCGACGCTCGGGTCGTCTTCTGGGTCGTCTGACTGGGTGTGACAAAACGGTCACAAACACTGTGTCCGAACGAACAAAGCAGCATCAGCCTGGGTATGATAAGCCGAACGAGTTCGCCTGGGTATTGGTAATCAGGTTCATCACACAAAATTGCGTCTATAGTCATCCTTGAATGATGATCTGGTCTGGTAGGACAACTTTGTGATTGACAATTGGTCCTTCGTTTTCACCCTGAAAGGAGTTTCAGAATCCTGATTCCGACAGCCCCAACACCACTGGTTGTAATTCCAAATCATGTGTCAAACAGTTCCAAATCCGACTGTTCAACTGATCTATCGAGGCTTTCAAGCGAGAACCTGAATGAATAAAAAATAATCAATAAACGATTGTTCCCTACTGGTGGTGACTGCACTTTTTCTCAAACCCTCGATCTGTTGAACCGGCGTTTGTCATGCACCACAATGCACCACATAGAACTGCCAGGATACAACAACAAGTATAGCTTCTTGTTTATAGCGATGGCCTCCAACCTACTTGCGATGCCCTCCACCCTAGTAGCGATGGTCTCCACCAAAAAACGCGTCCAGGAGACCATAGTATCGATAGACCTCCTCTTTGATGACCGGATCTGCGTTTTCATCCTGGGACCACTGCGGAACCACGACGCGGGGAACCGTTCACCACGGTCCGGTCGAACAAGGCTCGCACAATGTGGGCTCACTTTGAATATGAAGTAGATGTGGAAAAACTCAGTGTTGACCTCAAGAGATTCCCTCATAGGACCTCAAAAAGGTTTATAGATTCTTATAGTTCTCGTGTATTGGCTTCTTATCATGCAGGAGCCCAAGGGAATGGCAGGCGCAACGGTGTGTATATATATATATATATGTATAGAGAGAGAGAGAGATAAAATGAGATAAGCACATGTTCATGTGGTGACATGTTCCATGCACTTTGAAGGACTTTGCCTCATGCACTCGAACTCTTCAGCAAGCCCCTCCTGTGCAAGATGCTTTGTTTGGCAAACGTTTGATAGGGATATGTAGGTTCAGCAAGCAGGACACTTTTTGACAGCGTTGGCATATTGGTGCAATCCAGTTCTTACACCATGCATCTGGTCCAGCACAGAAGACCCGTCAGCCGTCCAAGATCAAAAAGAATAAGATGAACACCTCCAGGAGTGAACTAAAACCAAGTTCGGTGTTTCCTTCAATGTCTTCTGCACGACTCGGGCTCCTCCTGAACACACAATTGGACCAAAGCGGGACACCCCTTTTTCAAACACATTCCTTGGACCATCTCCTGGTACTTTCTCCCATGGCCCATGGACCATCTTCTGAACCCGCCACGTTCCATCCCAGATGCCACCAGGAAGTCTTGGCAAAGCGTGCTCAAGGTCATGCCAGCCACGCATTGAACAAAGCTCAACAAGCAAAAGCTCCAAAAAAGCATACCACGGCTTGCAGTCAAGCACTTGATCAAGAGCCTTAGAACGGACGGTCCTGGCAGCCTGCCACTACAAACACAGTAGGATGCCTGTTCAGGCGCCCATAAAAACTAGATGGCAGAACTGCTGCAAAAGCAAAAAGGACAAGGGATTCCCCTCCCCCAAAAAAAGGTTCCAAGATGTTTCAAGGTTTTAGGAAGGACTTTGGTCATGTTGTCCGTCAACTTCATGCAATGCCTACAGAATTCTGACAATGGATACATCTATGACGCTTCATCGCTGAGATTGCTGGCGCCCAAGCTTTGCCAATCACCAGGCCCATGAACCCCCAGAGCAGGAAAAGTCGTCCGGAGCCGGAACATTGTGAGCATCTATTTGGTTTTCTTTGGCTTTTTCCCTGGTGTACCGGTAATACCTCCAATGTGCAACATGAATCAATAACAAAAATAAACTTGCTTAGGCTTCCTAAAAGTCATCTGTAGCACAGTCATTGTAATGATACTCGTGAATTAAAACATGGGACATCTACACTCAAATGAAACCATCTGGGGGCACAAGTAATTACGCAGCTCGTGGCGTACCAAATATAGTGACATGCCTATGATAACGATATATAGTGGACCTATGGGGACCTTCTTGAAATAGCTTCCTCGAAACTCTCGGTTCAAATCTCATGGGAAAAATTCACATTTTCACCACCACTTGGGTCTGGTTGACCGGGCGGCGAGAGAAATGACGAATGAAACATGTGCGTCCGTGTCGTCCGTGCCTTTCGACGTTTCGAACGACTGATCGAAACGGCCCAGGCCCGACCGTGGCCCAGGCACTGCAAGGGCAGCAACATCGTGGTCCTGAGATGGTGGAGCGCGTTGTGGAATACGCGTCCCAACGGTGGGGTTTCATTGGAATAAAGTCCACCCAACGGTGGGATTCATCGAGTCCCAAGTCAAGCTACCGTAGGTGGGGATGTTCACAAGCCAAGTTAGCCAAGCTAGGTGGAACATGGTGACACATTTAAGGGTCGTTTCTGCGAAAGCCCAGGCTCTCTGAGGGTGCGACTCACCAGGCTGCTTGAGAGCAAATGTTGGTCGCAGGCAATTGTTTCTAACGTGTTCAGTATGTTGATTGAGCTGCAGGTCTGAGTCATAGTTAAATTGTTTGTTCCCCACCTGCCAGGTGAGGGTTGTTAGATTTATGACAATTGTTCTTCCTCCTTCCTTCCTTCCTTCCTTCCTTCCTTCCTTCCTCCCTCCCTCCCTCCCTCCCTCCTCCCTCCCTCCCTCCCTCCCTCCCTTCCTTCCTTCCTTCCTTCCTTCCTTCCTCCTTGCTTCCTTCCTCGCCAACCTCCTCGCCAATCTTCATCACCAATCTTCATCGCCAATCTTCATCGCCAATCTTCTTCGCCAATCTGCTTCGCCGATCTTGTCTGGCAAGCTCCGGATCGCAGTGTGCACCCCTGGACCTCAACCGCAAGGATCCGATCGGAGTGTGCACCCCTGGACCTCAACCGCAAGGATCCGATCGCAGTGTGTACCCCTGGACCTCAACCGCAAGGATCCGATCGCAGTGTGCACCCCTGGACCTCAACCGCAAGGATCCGAGCGCAGTGTGCACCCCTGGACCTCAACCGCAAGGATCCCCTCGCAGTGTGCACACCTGGACCTCAACCGCAAGGATCCGATCGCAGTGTGCACCGCTGGACCTCAACCGCAAGGATCCGATCGCAGTGTGCACCGCTGGACCTCAACCAGATAGTTTGCCAGATAAATGCCAGATAGAATGCCAGGTAGATTGCCAGATAGAATGCTGCAAGAAGATATGCCAGATAGTATGCCAAATAGTGTGTCAGATACATTGCTAGATACATTGCCAGATAGAATGCCAGAAACTATGCCAGATAGAATGCCAGATAGAATGCCAGATAAAATGCCAGATAGAATGCCAGAAGATATGCCAGATAGAATGACAGATAGTATGCCAGACAAAATGCCAGATAGTATGCCAGACAGTATGCCAGATAGTATGTCAGATAGATTGCCAGATAGAATGGCAGAAAGTATGCTAGATAGTTTGCCAGAAAGAATGCAAGAAGATATGCAAACACAACCACAAACGCAACTAGAAACACACAACCAGAGACACACACAATCTCAAACACACAATCACAAGCACAAAACCACAAACATAACCGCAAGCACACAACTACAAACACAACTACGAAGACACGATCACAAACAC